TTTTACATTTAAAAAGAACTTTGAATACTGGTAATTGAATCCAGCACCTTCATCCTGAACTATAGCCCCTGCCAATTGGTTGGTTGGTTGTATGTTGACACGGGGTCTCACTAAGTCACCAAAGTGCTTGGTTTGGGCTTGCATCTGGGATTCTCCTGCCTCAGCCCCTAGAGGGCTGGGATGACAGGTGGCGCCACCTGTTCTCCCCAGTACCTGCCGTCCCATTCTCCTCAGCACCTTCTGCAAGGTTCTGCCAGGGTGCTCAGGCCAAGTTTCACTGCCCATCCCTATGTCACACCTAAAGCCTCCTGCACCAGGACGCGGCCATGGCGCCCACCACCCCTGCTCTGCACTGCCCCTTTGTCTGCCCACTGCCCTCGATCAGCCCTGCTACCCCAGTCCAACTGCCCTCCCTCCCACAGCTGCACCAGTGCTTCCTGCAAAGCACCCCCTGCTGCAAGCTGCACCTGCGAGAGATGTCTGTTCCTACTGCACCACCCTGCAGCAGTCCCTTAACGCAGTCAGATCACGTGATCACTGCCGCTTAGCACCCTCTCATCACTCGCTGTCTTAGGAAGAAACCCTGGAGTCCTTTGAATGCTTCCAGGTGTGGGGGTCCCTCTCCCTCCCTGCTTCCTTCCATTCTCCCGTCCCTGTTTCCCAAAGGTGCCCTAGCAGGACACGGATACCCTTGCCCAGCCCTGAGGACCCTGTGGGTGATTTCAGCTCCCTCCTGCAGGACTCCATCTCCACCTTCTGGCACTGACATCCCTTCTTCCTAGTCTCAGGCACCCTGCACCTCCCTTGCACCGTATGATGTTTCCCCAGAATCCTTCTCATCTGTAGCTCATGACATGGTCCTGCTCCGTAGGCTGAAGTAACTGTGCTTCCTGGCAGAAGGGACATGCCTTCTTATCTGTCAGACTTGAGTGTGTGTGGTGCATATGAGAAGATCAGCCAGTTATGTTATTAGCTTTTAAAAACGCGTTCTCCCTGTGCATGGTGGTGCATGCGAAGCTGTCATCCTAACACTTTGGAGTCGGGAGCGAGAGTGATTTCAAGGCTAGGCTGGGCTACTACCTGGACCCTGTTTCAAAAACAAACACACACAAAATCAGTTCTAACACTTTGGGGAAGATTCCTATAAGGAGAATAGCTGGGTTGAATGGAATTTCCAGTTTTATTTTTCTTGGGATCGCCACAAATGGTTGTACTCTTTACAATCCCAACAACACCCTAGAAGGACCCCAACACCACCCCACCTCACCAGCATTTGTTATCAGATTTCTCCATGGTGCCTGCTCTTCCCAGCTTGAGATGGAGCCTTGGTGTAGTGTTAATTTGCATTGGTCTAGTGGCCACAAGTTTTGAGCATTTCTCATGTGTTTATTGACCAGTTGCGCTTCTTGTGAAAAAGGTCTTTCTGTTCCTCTTGCCCAGTGTTTGATTTGGTGGTGGTGGTGGAGTTCTAATTATATGAGTTCTTCTGTACACTGGATATTAACTTCTCTGTCTAAGAAATAGGTGGTGATTTTTTCCCACTCTTCCATAAAGAAGGATAAACTTGGGTCATTTGTAAGAAAACAAATCCATCTTGAAAGAATAAAGCTGGTACAGTAAATCATGCATGGTTAAATATAACCTAATTTTTTCTCTTTACATGAGAAATCCAAAATGTAAGTAAAGAGCAAAATAAAAGATAACAGGGGGCCAGCCAAATAGCTCAGTGGATTAAAGCACCTGCAAGCAGGCTCAGTGGCTGGGGGTTCGATCCCTGGGCCTGCCTTGCTGGCTCTGACCCTGGGTCACACTGAGACTGGCCGTGGTAGCTTGCACCTGTAATCCCAGCTCTCGGGAGGCTGTAAACAGACAATTGACTGAGTCCGATCTAGTAGTGAGACTCTGAACACCCTGTAGACCCTTCCCTAAAATACAAGAAAAAAAAAAAAAAAAGATAACAGGAAGGAGGCGGATCCTTCTCAAGTGAGAGGGGAACCAGGCAATGGAAGGAGGGGAAGAGGAATGAAAGGAAGAAAATTGGGTCGGTGACGTCATGCGCCCACCCGCCCGGGCATGTAGTCACGTACCGCGAGGCGTTCTGAGGATGACAGCACTGAGCCCAGCTCTAGCAGCCCTGCTGGTCCCTGGAGGTGCCCCCCAGAGCTAGACTAAGCTGACCCCAGATGGCTCCTGTGTGGACCCAGCAGAAGCCTTGCCATCTGCAGCGTGCTTCACCCTTCACCCCAATGCTTCCAACTCGCAGACTTCCCACAGCTCGCCGCCAGGATGAAACTATCAGTGGTCCGAATCCACAGGTGCATGCCGTCAAAGAACAGGAGGGCTGCTTTATAGTAAGGGACGTGCTGCATGAGTCCAGCTCCAACCTGCCCCCCGCTTCGGAGGCGCTGATCCGTCCTGCTCTTGCGTCAGAAGCCACGAGGAGTCCTCGCTCATGAATGTCCTTAATCAAATCCAGCAGCCTTCAAGACCTTAGTAGTCAATTGGGGAAGAGCCGGAAGTCGTACATGACAAATGTGTAAGCAGAGTGGACAAGGACACCACTTGGTGTTCTCTTGGCCCTGCAGACTGGCGAGGGGTATCTTGAAGGGGCTGTGGTGGCAGTATATCCTTTAGTATAGTGACATTTTTATTTAAGCATTTACTTTGTTTCTTCTTTGGCATTGGTGATTTCTTATTTGTGTATACATTTATACATAGGTATAGGTTTTCTATTGTGTTTAGTATTTATTGAAACTGAGACATTTTTAGCATGTCTGTTTTGAGTCCCCTAATTGTCAAAGATAAAGTGGCTGAGTGTGTCTGAGTTGTTTCTGTGTCTCTAGTCTGTCTTGCTGGTCCTGCGGCCCGCTTCCTTGGCCTATGCCATGCCGCTTTGTCGTGGTAACTGTATGGGGGCAGCATTCATTTGTGCCAGCTACTCCCCTTTGTACTTTCTTCAGAGAGTTAAAAGCACCGTGTCACAGCAGGTATGCACAATCATGTGTGCCGTGGCGTGGTTCGTAATAGCTAAGCCTTGAAAATAGCCCAGACACCCAACCACTGTTGAATGGACAGAGAAGGCATGGGGGGCTTGCGTACCACGGAGCACTCCTCAGACATGAAGGAGGATAAGCTGGAGTCATTTCTAGGTGAGTGTGCACACCTCGGGATCATAAGCTCACGCGAAATAAGCTGGGCACATGTGTAAATACCGTATTGTTTCCCTGGTGTGAGAAGCTGCAAGTGTAAATAAGGACCAAAACGTTCAATAGAGATTATGAAGTATGAAGAAAGTGCTTAATTAGGGGCAACTAGGAAGAGGAGAGGGAAAAAGGAAGGGAAAAGAAAAAAAATGAGAAAAGAAGGAAAAATGTGAAATGAGGCTTTTGTAAATAAGGAGGGAAAGAAGGTTGAAGGTAAGGGAGGGGATTGGGGGAAAAATAAGCTACATCATGAATGATGAATGCGACCATTAAGTATATCCAAACTGTACCCATAACCTCACCTCATTGCTTAGGCGTACCCTAAGTGCTCCCATTCCTGTCTCTAACAGGTCATTGCCATAGTTATGGATATATTTACAGATGTGGACATTTTCAAAGAAATAGTGGAGGCCTCGACTCGAGGGGCATCTGTGTATATCTTACTCGATGAGCTCAACTTCAAGCACTTTTTCAGCATGACCGAGAAGCAGGGCTGTCCAGTTCAACGTCTCAGGGTGAGTGCTCTTTATTCTCCGGCGTTTTCGTGCACCACCTGTGTCTCAGCCAAGCTTTTAGCCTGTGAAGACAGAGTGCTCCAGAAGGAAAGAGGGACAGGTGCCTGTGTACACTGATGTAATGACTCAGCCCTGCAGGCGACTGGGAGCAGGCGGCTGGAAGCGTGCGCCTTCACCTGCGCGTGTCTGCTTCCAGGCCCATGGGTCGCCTGCGGCCCGCTTCCCTGCGCGAGTCCCTGAGGGTCTCGTTGGGCCAAAGCACTGGCCCAGTCCCCAGCTACATTTCACTTTTGAGGGACAGGAGTTCCTTTCCAGCTGTTTCCCTACCATGCTCTGACTGTCTCTAAAGTTTCCTCACAGTGGCATCCTCAGGGATTTGTGACACAGTCTGAGTCACAAAATTGTCTCCTGTTTCAGTTATTTTAAAATATATTGTTTAGGTATTATTTTTCCTCAGTATTGAGGACAATTTTTGAAATTTCCTTTCCATGAATTTCTGCACCTTAAAAGTTCATTTCGGGTTAGTATTTTAGATGGTAAGGTGTTACATTGATATGCATTTTAGTTGTCAAATATCTCCTTCCTAGCCATAATTCTTACTCTATATGTGCATACAATTTTAGAACATTCGAGTTCGGACAGTAAGAGGCCAAGACTATCTTTCAAAAACGGGAACAAAATTCCATGGAAAAATGGAGCAGAAATTTTTGTTGGTCGACTGCCACAAAGTGGTCTACGGCTCCTACAGGTAAGAGCGCTGTTGGCCTTTGTCAGTATCAACCAAAATGCTTAGGAACCTTTTTTGTTCTTTTCTTTTTTTTCTGTATTTTAGGTAAGGGTCTACCTTACAGGGTCTCAGGGTCTCACTGCTAGATTGCTCTCATAATGATCCACCTGTTTACAGCCTCCCAAGAGCTGAGATTACAGGTGCATGCCACCACGCCCAGTCTCCATTGCTGTCTCAGCATGCCCCCTGGGTGGGGCCAGCATGGCAGGCTGGGGATTAAACCCCTGACGCCTACACCTGCTTGCAGGTGCTTTAATCCTCTGTGCTATTTGGCCGGCCCTTTATGAACCATTTTGATTAAAATACATGTTTGCTTCCTATGAACGCACGTTTGGCCTGGGGGAAGTAGCTCCGAGGTAGAGTGCTGCCTAGCATGTGTGAGGCCCAGCCTCATATTCTTGTTTAGTTTCGGGCTTTCCCCTGTACAGAGTGGCTTTCTCGTCAATGGATCTCCTTCATGGACATCCTTGGCCACAGATGTCACTGAAATCAAAGAGCGGCCTGGACACTGCCCACCCTGCAGTGACACGCAGTAGGGACTCGGGTCATGAGGACAGTTGTGCCAACAAGACAGCAGGGGCTTGACACAGATGACACTTGGGTGGTCCTTAAGCACCTGGTGTGAGGCCACCCATGGTGTAGGAATGTCTTGTGTTGTAGTCTTATTTAAGTTGTTTGTGACAAACTAGAAAGCAGTTAGTCAAGCTTTTCCCATGGATTGAGAGAGAATTTTAAAGATTTTGTCCTTTGAATTCCTATGAAAGTTATTTTCTAAAGACTTTTAAGTTGGCATCAGGTAAGACGGCTATTGTACTTGAGGCTCATTCTAGAGCCCAATTCTTCTTCTTCTTTTTTTCCTTTGGCGGAAATAAAAAGGGGATTGAACTCAGGCCCTTGCACGTGCCAGGCCCACGCTTATTCTACTGAGCCATCTCCCCAACCCCTTAGAGCCCACTTCCTGTCTCTGCTTCCACCCATCAGCTTTGCTTTGACTCCCAGACAGGGGTGCAGAGGTTTTAGCGCCACTGATGAAGGAGGTCAGAACTACAGTACAGCTTTATGACTAATATAGGACAGTGTGTTTTGAGGGGAGGTAGGAATACATTTTACTCAAGATATTTACATATATTTAAAAATTAATGATGATTTGCAGTACAAAGCAATAGCTTTTGTGCTGTGTCTGTGGCCATTCTTGGTCCTACCTCCAGATGCAATTATTCAATTCCTCTTTTTTTCTTTTTCTGCTTTTCTGGCTGGAGATGAAGTCTCCTCCCATCACGCAGGCTGGTCTCTTACTCACAGTCTTCCTGCCTCAGCCTTATAGCAGACGGGATTGTACATGTGGCTCCTAGTCAGGTCTTTGAGTCTGTTCTTCTTCTGCTCTGTATCCTGTTATCTTAAATGAAGTGACATGCTGTTCCTTCCAATTTATCAATTTTCATTATTACTGTCTCGTGGCTTTTCATAGTGGTGACTGAGGAATTATATTTTCTACTCATTCATGTGCACTTTCTTTGCGTGTCACCAACTTTCAACATAGTTTATTACAGCTTCGTATGTAATGAGAAGCTCGGGCTTGCCTTGTGTTCACTGTGTTGACGTTGCTCACTTATGAGCCTTGGCGGGATTTACGACAGTTCACTTTCACAGCAGCTCTTTTGTTGCAATTGCCTCGTCTTCTGATGCTGCTGCATTTCCGGTGGCTCACGCACACTGAGGCGCACGTGAGGGCTTTTCTGCATGCTCAGCTCTTGAGAATGCCCAGTGACGCCTGGTCTGCGCAGAACCAGAGCCACAGCCAGGGGTCTAGTGTGGCCGGTGGCCCTGAGTGTTTAGCTCCTTGTTGTTGTTGTTTATATTGTTTTTTTTCCCCCAAGTAGATGAAAGTACATTCTCAGACCAAAATTCATAATTCTAAATGTTTCGTAGCTTAACTTGAGATCGAATTCAAGCCAAATCATTTTCCTTCTAGACTTGTAAGGAGGCCCCTTCTAGTCAAAGCGCTGTAGAGGAATCATCAGCAGTTGTTACTGCCAGTCATTCACGCAACTCTCCCTTCCTTTCCTGAAGTTTCTGGACTTCCTTGCTTTCCTGTCTGTATTTTCCAGCATACCGTGGTACGAAGTTAGGTTGTTTATTGGCAGTCTTCCTGCTATTTTTGAGGTATATGTTTGCAGCACTCGCATCCCTCTTGGGGACGGTCTCCCCACATCCCCCACACTTTAAGGTACTGTATTTCCAGTCCCTTTGGCTTCAGATGTACTTTCTAGCTTCCTTGGGACTTCTTCCCAGACCTACTAGTTGTTTAAAACTTGTTTTTGAGTTATGAATACAAGTACATGTGAATTTTTCCATTTTCTTTTTATACCTGTAACCCAAAAAGATAGTCTGTATGATTTAAATCTTTGCCACATTTTTTCTGATTTCTTCCATCATCTACTATTTTCACTGTCCTGAAGCTCTGCATGCCAAGGTCAGGGAGCTGCCCTGGCGGGAGGCCACCCGCTGCTGCACATTTTCTGCAGGATTCCAGAACCTGCAGAGCATCACAGTGGCAAATCTAATGGCGCCGGTCTCTGTCTGCTTCTCAGAAGCCACTAATTGCATTGCGGGGGTCCTTCCCTCAGGACCCCATCTGATCCTCATCACTTTTCATGGGCCCCACATAGGATTTGGGGTTTGGGTTTCCCACACGCAAATTCTGGAAGACATATTCAGGGACTAACAGAGAGGGAAGCATTTTAAAAGAACAGTGACTACCACAGCCCTGGGGCCAACATCTGGGGGACAGGCAGGCCAGTGCCGTGCAAGGACCTGAGGCAGGGAGAGCCCACCTCGTAGGATCTTCCTGCTGGGGCAGGGAGCTGTAGTGCTGGGCCAAGTAAAGAGCTGGGATTTTATGTTATTTTATTTTCCATAGTTTTATTGAGAAACAAATAGCAATGAGACAGTTTCAAATCAAACTGGTAGGACA